ACTACAGATGATTATAAAACATACTTTTAAAATGTCATTTATTGTGGTGACAAAAAATAAATCTAATAAGAATGTGCAATGGCTGGGTGTGGTGGTTCATGCCTATAATCTTATCACTTTGAAAGGCCAAGGTGGGAAGATTGCTTGAGCCCAGGAGCCTGAGACCAGCCTGGGCAACAAGGCGAGACTCCATCTATATATTAAAAAAAAAAAAGAAATTTGGCTGGACAAAGTGGCTCATGCCTTGTAATCCTAGCACTTTGGGAGGTGAAGGTGGGTGGATTGTCTGAGCTCAGAAGTTCAAGACCAGCCTGGGCAACATAGTGAAACACTGTCTCTACTAAAATACAAAAATTTTGCTGGGCATGGTGGCATGCATCTGTAGTCCCAGCTTCTTGGGAGGCTGAGGTGGGAGAATCGCTTAGCCCTGGGAGGTGAAGGTTGCAGTGAGCCGTGATTGTACCACTGCACTCCAGCCTGGGTGACAGAGCGAGACTCTGTGTCCTTCACACACACACACACAAAGTTATCCAGTCATGGTGGTGCATACCTCTAGTCCTAGCTGTTTGCGGGGCTGAGGTGGGAAAATCACTTGAGTCTAGGGGTTTGAGGCTGCAGCGAGCTTTCAGCCTGGGCAACAGAGTGAGAACGTTGTCTTAAAAAAAAAAAAAAAAAAAGAATATGCAAGAACTTTATGGAGATAACCAGAACATTTTACTCAAGAGCATTACAGATTGTTAAATAAATGGAAAGATATTTTATGTTCATGGATGGAGACCCAGAATAGTAAAAACAGGTAATTCTCACAGAATAACCTATAGGTTTAGTATAATGACAATTAAAATCCTGGATTTTCTCTTCTGATGGTGGTAAACAAGATAATTTGAACCTTTTTCCCAGTTAACTTAAAAAGTAAAAAGAAAAAAGTGAACAAAATATTTTCTGAAAACTTCTTCAAAATGCTAACTATATAGAGAAGAGTTATGAGACTAAGATCAGGGAGAGCCCAGAAATTCAGAGCTGTGAGCCCAGCACTGATGGCCATTTTTACCCTGGGAGTGTTTGTCAATCTAGATGTGACTGAGAGGCTGCAGTTTTGGAAGCCCCATGAGGCTAGAGGGACAAAAGTCCGAATCCAGAACCTACCAAGAATAGAGACCCTGATACCACGCCTCCTGACCTACACATTTTTGGCTGGGACCACGAAGTAAAAACACCCCCGTAGTAACTTTCCTTCATGTGGACACAGCTCAGTGTCAAGCCCTGTGGTAGCCCAACATAAAATATTACAAGCCTTGTATGTGTATTAAGGTAACCCTAAGCCTAGGCAACATGGCAAAACCTCATCTGTATAAAAAATACAAAAAAAATAAAATTAGCTGGGTATGGTAACACATGCCTGTAGCTCCAGCTACTCTGAAGGCTGAGGTGGAAGGATCGTTTGAGCCCAGGAGGTCAAAGCTGCAGTGAGCTGTGATTGTGCCCCTGTCACTAAACAAACAGAAAGTTCTTTGAAGGAAGGTAACATTTCAGGCTACAAATATTTCTGCAAATATCTTCCTAACAAAGCATTCAGCACACAATCAAAGATAACCAGACATATGAGGAGGCAAGACACAATGAGTGAAAAGGAATAGGAAGAAAAGACGGTGGAGACAGCCCCACAGGGACTCTACTTATTTGATTATGAAAGGATTAAGACAGGACACACAGGGCTTCTGAGACACTTGCAATGTGCTGTTGTTTGCCCATGAGGTGATTATATGAGTATTCGGTCCATCTTCTGAGACTGGAAAAACTCAAACTCAAACCATGTTTTCCCTCTGCTCTCACAGTCAAGACCAAAGACTTCTGTGATCAAATGTGTGGAGATTTCTTCCTACCAAAAAGCAAGCAATGGATTCTGCAGAATAGATTCAGTTCTATTCTGACACTACTTACCTGGATATAGCATCAGATCCCACAGGTTGAGGGCTCATCCCCTAAGACTGCCCTCCACCTCCCACCTTCATTTGCCAACTGTAGGCTCTGGTTGTTCTACCCATGCTTTTGTCTAACTGATTATAAATTAGGGATCCTTCCTCTTTGGGCTCAATTTATTTGGTAGAGCAGCTCACAGAACTCAGGGAAACACTTACTTACATTTACCAGTTATAAAGAATATTAGAAAGGATACAGATGAAGAGATGCATAAAGCAAGGCACAAGGGCACAAAGCTTCCATATCTTCTCTGGGCATGCCACCTTCCAGGAACCCTCCATGTGGTTAGCTATCCAGAAGCTCTTCAAACCCTTTTCTTTTGGGTTTTTATGGAGGTTTCATTATGTAGATATGGTCAATTAATCCATTGACCATTGGTGATCAACCCAGCCATCAACCCTTCTAAGACCTTCTCTAAAGGTTGAAGGGTGGGGCTGATAGTCGCAACTCTCTAAATGTGTCTTTGTCTTTCAGGTGATCAGTCCCCTTCCTACTGCTACCTATGCTGCCAGCCATCAGTCAACTTATTAGCATACAAAAAGACATCAGTTTGGAGAGTCTAAGGGTTTTAGGAGTTGTATGTCAGATACAGGATCGAAGACCAAATATATATTTTACAGTGTCATACCATCTGAATCCATTTAACTGTATGCTTATATTTTATGTCCTTTTCTGAACATGTGTTATATTCAGCAATAGAAAAGGCTTACAAAATTGAAACCAATTCAACATTCCATCAACAGGAGGACTGACCGATGAATTTTGGTAAATTCATACAATTATATATTGTTAAGCTGTTGAGTTGGAAGAACCAGAGCTACGTGTATCAATAAGGATTACTTTCAAAAATATATTGCAGTGAGTAATTACAAGTTGTGGAAAGATATATACAATATAACATTACAGAAAGTCAAAAAATGCAAAACAATATTATATATTATAATGGAGACATAAAGTGTAAAAACATACATGAAACAATAAGTACCAGATTCAGAATAGTGGCCACTTCAGAGAAAAGAGAAAGGAAGAAAGAAAAGAGAGCACCATATAGGTAGCTTCACCTGTTTCTGTGACATTTAGTATTTAAAAAGGATGAATCAACTTTCAACCAGGGATCAATATCCAGAATATACAAGGAACTCAAACAACTCAACAGTAAAAAAACAAAAAACAGGGCCAGGTGCGGTGGCTCACAGCTGTAATCCCAGCACTTTCCGAGGCCGAGGCAATTGAATCACCTGAGATTGGGAGTTCAAGACCAGCCTGACCAACATGGAGAAACCCCATCTCTACTAAAAATACAAAATTAACTAGGTGTGATGGCACATGTCTGTAATCTCAGCTACTCGAGAGGCTGAGGCAGGAGAATTGCTTGAACGCAGGAGGTAGAGGTTGTGGTGAGCTGAGATCGCACCATTGCACTCCAGCCTGGGCAACAAGAGTGAAACCCTGTCTAAAATTTTAAAAAAGCAAATAATCCCACTAAATAAATAATCCCACTAAGTAAATAACCCCACTAAACAGGGGACAAAGGACCTAAATAGACATTTCTCAAAAGAAGACATACAAATGGCCAACAGGCATATGAAAAAAATGCTCAGTATCACTAATCATCAGAGAAATGAAAATCAAAACCACAATGAGATATCATCTTACCCCAGTTAGAATGGCTATTATCAAAAGAACAAAAAATAACAGAGCCTGGCAAGGATATGGAGAAAAGGGAGCTCTTGCGCCCTGTTCATAGGAATTTAATTTATAAAGCCACTATAGGAAACAGTATGGATATTTCTCAAAAAACTAAAAAGTACCTGTCCTACAATTCAACAATGCCGCTACTTGGTATTTATCCAAATGAAAAGAAATCAGTGTATCAGAATGATACCTGCACTTCCATGTTTATTGCAGCACTATTCACAATAGCAAAAATATGGAGTCAACCTAAGTGTCCATCAAAGGACAAATGGATAAGGAAATGTGGTATATATACGTAATGAACTACTATTCAACCATAAAAAAAAAGCAACAGGGATGGAACTGGAGTTTGTTACATTAAGTGAAATAAACCAGGCACAGAAAGACAAATATCATACGTTCTCACTCATATGTAGATGCTAAAAGAAATTGATTTCATGGAGGTAGAGCATGGAAGGATAGCTACCAGAGGCTGGGGAGGGTGTGTCGGGGGAGGATGAAGAGAGTTTGGTTCATGGATACAAACATACAGTTAGATAGAAGAAATGAGTTCTAATGTTCAATAGCAGAGTAGGGTGACCATAGCTAACAACATTATATTGTACATTTCAAAATGCTGTGAGGACTTGAAATGTTCCCAATGCATAGAAATGGTAGACACTCAAGATGATGAATAGCCTAAATACTCTAACTTGATCACTACACATTCTGTGCATGCAACAAAATATCACATGTACCCCATAAATATGTATAAATATTATGTATGAATTTAAGAAAGAATGAAAGAAGCTAGGACTCCAAAAAAAAGGATGAATCAAATAAAGCAAAATGATGTGATCTGACAAAGATGGGTGGTAGGTGCATACTCTGTTCCATTCTCTCCGTTTTTCTGGATGCTTGAAATAGTCCATTTCAGAAATAAGTTCCTTGGAGAGGTCACAGAATACTTTAAAGAGTTGTATATGTTTCTTTCTAAATAATTTTGTATTGAAAAAAATACTTTTAGACTGATTTAGTTGCTGCAGTTCTTGGAACCTGTTTCCTGTGAATAAGAACCAAATACTGGGGCATCAATGTTTAAGAGATAACCTATCTTTTTCTTATCCATTAAATTATTTATCCTCAGTGCTTCTGTAAACTCATTACACACACACAAATGCCTTTTTTTTAAGTTCCAATTTTATTTCTTGAGGACACTTCATTATGCGTTTTTAAATACTATTTTTTATTTCTGACCCGTGGATCTTTTGGGAGCTCTTTTGACATAGATCTACTCTAATTGAATTTCTAAAATCATTTACCTCCTTCTGTTTTGTTTTCTTTAGGAACGAGATAAATTCTACTTGTCTCGTAGTGTTGTTCTAGAACTTCTGCAGGCCCTAAAACTCAAATCTCCTTTACCAGATACAAACCTTCTTCTGCTCGTCCAGGTAAGCTTATGCCTGATTTGTAAAACTTTTCATGAGATCCATGTATGTTTGGGAAAATTAAGTGAGGTGTAGAGTGTATGCATAAAACTAAACATCTTTGCCCAGAGATGAGAAATAATATATCTTATATGGACCATGACCTAACTAATAGTATGCACCTGACACTTCCACTGGCTAAAAAAGTCCAAGAAGGAGTATTGATTTTGTTCCTACTGTGAAATTAGTTCTATGGGGGTTAAAAAGAAGAATAAAACAATAATTTTTGTCCTCAAGAAATGCGTGATGCAGTAGGTTAGAGGGGCAGGTCAGTCACCAGAGCTGAGACAGGCCTGAGACCAGAATTCGGGGAACAGGCTGAGGTCTGACTGCAGAGTCAAATGAGTATAGGTGGTCCCTAAATCTCTGTGAAGCAGAAGTGAAGGAGAGGATAGGCCAGGCCAGAGACAGTCAAATGGCAGGATGCACTGAGTGGTACCCACAGTGGGGGATAAGTATGCTTCAGCCCTCAGGGGACAACTGAGGCCGAGGACCACTATAAGACAGACTTTGGAGAACTGTCAACAATTATTCTTTTGGTTTTAGGGCTTCTGAGGGACTAAAGCCTTCTACTCTACTGTCCTTAACTCAGCATCTTAGGCAGGCATGCAGGTTTTGATGACCTGAAACAGGCTATGATAGTATCATGAGAGAAAGAGGTAAACAAAATCCTAGGGAGAAATTGAAAGCAGCATGGATCCCATCCCTTATGATGTGAAATCAGAGAAGACTTCATGAAGGAAGTAGCATTTGAGTTGGGTCACAAAGGACTGGAGGGTACAGACAAATGTCTTTGCCTGGGATTAGGGTTCAGCCTAGAGAGGTTGACTGGCTTCAAGCATAAAGGAGGCTTATAGGCAGGATGGTGGAGTACATTAAGGGATAATGGCATGAGGATAGGGTTGAGAAAAAGTAGACTGGCTCTGCCAGAGGAATCAGCAGGTGTTCAGGTAACCTGGCACCCTGCCTCTCACCCAAGGGTTGAGGCTAGATTTAGAGACCTGGCCATGAGCTACAGCTGGGATCAGGGTGTCATTCAATGGCCTTTGGGTACAGTGCCCAGCCATTGCATCACAGCTGTGTCAGCACTCGCTGATGAGCATTAAGACCAGTCCCAGAGTCTGGGCCTGCAAGCTGAGGGTTAAATGATTGAAGGAATATGGGAGCTTGGTATCAAGGAACTAGACAGATTTCCCTGAATTGTGGGTACTCATTTGGAGACATGAGAGATAAGGGAACACTAATGGAGGACCTATTATGTGTTAAGCATTTAATCTTTACAGCCTCATGAAGCATTGGTTCTGTACTGCAGGAGGTGGTTCGGTGGCTTGCCCAAGACCACAGTGCTGGCCTAAGTGACAGGTAGTATCAAGCACCTGATTTCAGTGTGTTAGGACTCACAGCCCAGCTCCCTTCGGTATAACACACAGCCTTGACAGGCCCTTTCCATCCCTTACAGGGATTACTGTAACAGCTCTTAGCCTTTTGCACCTGCTTCATCTCTTTCCACACCAAGCCAATCTTCTGGCCTGTGGCTGCCTAGAGGAATTTTGCTGAAACTCTACTTTTCTGATGCAGATCACTCTTGCATCAGAAACCTAGAGTGACCTCGTAAGGTCTGAACTATCCAGGTCTTCCATCATCTGGCCACATCTGACTCTTCAGCAGTATTTCCCACTACAAATATTTACTGACCACCTATCTTGGGCTGGGTTCTGGGAATATAGAGATGTGACATGCATATCCTGATAATGTGCTAACTACTCTCATGAAAATCTACACAGTGTATAAAACACTATGGAAGAGGGAGTGGCTAACTGAACCTAGGACACGGAGGAAGGCTTATGAAGCATTATGAGGCCTGACATGGGCCAGGTGCTCTGCAGGGTGCTGAGGAAACAGAAGAATCAGCCATGACATCTTCCTTCCAGGAGTTTACAATTTAGCAATTGAAGTTGACATGTAAATTAAAAAAACAATTCCCACATAGTACAACAGGTGCAGTAGTAGAGACGTGTACTGAGTAAGGAAGTGTTGTTTGTAGAAGACAGTTCACATGGACCTTGAAGGATGCACAGAAGTTCAGGAGTTGACCTGGTAGAGAAGATGAGGAACAACCCTTGTCATTTACTGTTGAATAACCACTGCCTGGTCTCCATACTCCCCCTCCAGAGACTACAAATCATTAGGATCAGAACTGAATTTTTCTCAAAGGCTTGAGATTTATTTAAAAAGTTGGTGTACTTTCAATGAATGGTCTTGAGTTGTCTTTGAAGGGCTTTCTAGGACACATTGAACCCTCAGCGAGTCAGTGATTGCTGGAAAATGACAGCAATGGATGCGGGGCATGATGTCATCAGAATGAAATGGCTCTTATTATACCAAGGTGCTGGACAGCCCAGGAAGAAGACAAGCAAAGTCACAGCCAGAAAATATCTGTGCTCCTAAGGAGAGACGAACTTTGCATTTCTCTCTGTGGATTGCATTGGCCAGGCCCTTCTGCTCACATAGCAGCAGCAACATTGCCTTTGAGAACAAGCAGTGTTCACACAGATTTTTTATTTATTGAATTTTAATTAAGTTATTTATTTTTGAGATAAGATGTTGCTCTGTTACCAGGTTGGAATGCAGTGGCACGGTCTTAGCTCACTGCAACCTCTGCCTCCCTGGCTCAAGTGATCCTCCCACCTCAGCCTCCCAAGTAGCTGGGACTACAGTTGTGGGCCACCACGACTGACCAATTACCACTTTTTTAGATATTTTTAGTAGAGATGGGTGTTGACCATGTTGCTCAGGCTGGTCTTGAACTGCTGGACTCAAGCTATCCACTCATCTTGGTCTCTCAAGGTGCTGGGATTACAGGTGTGAACCACTGCTCTCGGCCCAAAGAGATCTTTTTGAAGATTCATGGGATCTACACTGACTTGGAGGAGAGGGCAGGTGAACAGGGCTTAGGGAAATATCCCGGGAGGGATTAAGGTTAGCAGCCTGACTGTGTCTGGAGGTCACTTGCTTCTAAAAGTGTTGCAGTTGGGGATGTGCCACCTGAAAACCACTTCAGGGCATTGAAGGTGCTTTCCTGCAGATGGTGAACAGCATTCCCTTAATTGCCCTTTGTCTTGAGCAGAGCAGATCTGTGTGGCTGATCTTCTTGGGGTCTAGCACTCCATACTGTAACTGCTGGAGATTGGTTTGCAATGAAATACATTAGTCAACTGTAATAAGCACTTGTCACAAGATGCCAAAAGAACACTGACAGTTTAAATTACCCAGTGCTTAAGGAAACCACAAAAACAGTGATTACTGCATCACAGTTAGGTGAATAAATAACAAAAATTAAGAAGAAAGACAGCAAAAAGATACTTCCGAATGTGTTTTATGGGTTTTCATCTGCCATTTCATCTTTTTAAAACAAATGTGTGCCTTGTCATTGAAATCGTTAAGTTAGAAAATGTCAAGTTGTAAAATTATTTAGATTGAAGGGGTATTTTGGAGACATTTTCAGATCACGCCCAGGAAAAACAACTTTATGGAAATGTTTCAGTCTTCTCCAACAAAATATGTTGAGCATAGTTTGTTCCTGGGTTTCAACACCAAGGGAAAAATAAATTTAAGCCATTTCAAAGTAACAAATCCTTGTTCCATAAACTCTTAAGCAATTTTTATTTCTAATCAGAGAAATAAAAGTGAGGCATGCCCATAAAAAAGGATGAGTTTGTGTCCTTTGTAGGGACATGGATGCAGCTGGAAACCATCATTCTCTGCAAACTATCGCAAGAACAGAAAACCAAACACCGCATGTTCTCACTCATAGGTGGGAACTGAACAATGAGATCACTTGGACTCGGGAAGGGGAACATCACACACCGGGGCCTATCACGGGGAGGGGGGAAGAAGGAGGGATGGCACTGGGAGTTATACCTGATGTAAATGACGAGTTGATGGGTGCTGACGAGTTGATGGGTGCAGCACACCAACATGGCACAAGTATACATATGTAACAAACCTGCACGTTATCCACATGTACCCTAAAACTTAAAGTATAATAAAAAATTAAAAAAAAAAAAAGTGAGGCATGCCTTAAAACAGAGTAGTTCCCTTTTCTGCCCTGTGGTCCTGCCTAAGTCATGGAGAGAAGTCTTCTATGGGGCCGCACATGGTATATTAGTCTGTTCTCATGCTGCTAATAAAGACATACCTGAGACTGGGTAATTTATAAAAGAAGGAGATTTAATTGACTCACAGTTCCACATGGCTGAGGAGGCCTCACAATCAATGGTGAAGGTGAATGAGGAGCAAAGTCATGTCTTACATGGCAGCATGCAAAAGGAGCTTGTGCAGGGGGAACTCCCATTTATAAAACCATCAGATCTTGTGAGACTTATTCACTACCATGAGAACAGTATGGGGGAGACCACCCTCACCATTCAATTATTTCCACCTGGCCCCTTGACACATGGGGGGATTATTACAATTCAAGGTGAGATTTGGGTGGGGACACAGCCAAACCATATCAGATGGGATGAGGAGAAACGTTGTTTCTCTTATGCGTAGTTCCTTTTTTTTTTTTTTTTGAAATGGAGTCTTTCATTCAAAAAATGGGCTCTTTCATTCAAAAAATGGGCTTTGTCACCCAGGTTGGAGTGCAATGGTGCAGTCTTGGCTCACTGCAACCTCCACCTCCTGGATTCAAGCGATTCTCCTGCCTCAGCCTCCTGAGTAGCTGGGATTACAGGCATGCACCACCATGCCCAGCTAATTTTTGTATTTTTAGTAGAGATGGGGTTTCACCATATTCGTCAGGCTGGTCTCAATCTTCTGACCTCGTGATCCACCCACTTTGGCCTCCCAAAGTGCTGGGATTACAGGTGTGAGCCACTGCACCTGGCCTAGTGCCTCTTTCTGTAGGGTTTCTCAATTGCTTTTTTCTTGCCCTTGACTGCCTGGGTCCTCCAGGTGTTCTCTGTAGAATGGTGGAAATGACAGCCTGCTCTCTGGAAGCTTCTTTTAGGCCAGAGATCTAGGCTGGAGTCAGAGGAACTTTTCCCCTTTACCTATGGGCATCATCAGCTCCTGGCACTTGGACAACCAAGCTTATATCAGGGACAGATGATCTGCCAGGAGCAGACAGTGACTTTCTTTATGGATATCAGTGACCATCATCTGAAGGCCACCCAGTGAGGGTGGGTATAGTTAACTGAAAATGCAATTTGCAAACATAAAAAAAATCAGTAACCAGAAGGAAAAACTCCCTAGGTGATCCATCACAAATGACACCAGTCCCCATGCTGAAAACAGAGTCTGTTGCTCCAATGTTGCGTTTCCCATTCATTCTTTCACCCCATAGGGAACTGCTGGTATTTCCTCTACTACTTTTCTGATGAATAACAGTAGGTAGATGAGCTCACTAAGATGGAACCATTTCTATTCTTCTCATAGATAGACCATACCTTTGTGTTACCAAATACTCTGGCAGTAAGAAAGACCCCTTAAAGAACAAATAGAATGCTCGTCCAAGAAATGTGGAATCATCCAAGTTTTAAACCTGTCAAGACAGCAACTGCTACCAATCTGCTTTTTAATTCCTAGAAGTTCTCCCTGGAGGCCTGGCGTCATGGGGAATTCCCCAGCCTGCTCTATGGTGGTTGTCTAGCCATGACCACTGATGTTTACATATAAAGTTGTTTTACATATGAAGTTTACATATGTAAAGTTTATGTGTGAATTTACATATGAAGTTGGGTGGCCTTAAATGTTCAAGTGGATTTTTTCTTTTTAAAGAAAGAGAGGCGTGGAGATAGGAAAGAATTTGCTGAATAGAAAAATGTCATTTCAGAGTCCAAATTGTTGATCCCCAGGGCATAGTTCTCCTTTTGCATTTTGGACAGATACACTAGCACATTATTTTAATTCAGATCTATTGACATTTTTGCTTTTTGTTTCCAATATTTTCTCTTTTGCTGGTTTGCTGTGGATATTTTTTGTGTAATAGGTTATAATTGTTCTCAAGATAGAGTTTTCATAATAAGTGATAACTCATTAATAGCCACCATAAAGACTGTTTAAGTTCAAATCAAAAGGAATTTCCTTAGCTCCTATTATGTGTCAAGAGTAGATATTCAGCCGGGCGCAGAGGCTCACGCCTGTAATCTCATCACTTTGGGAGGCCAAGGCGGGTGGATCACGAAGTCAAGAGATGGAGACCATGCTGCTAACATGGTGAAACCCCGTCTCTACTAAAAGTACAAAAATTAGCTGGGTGTGGTGACATCTGCCCGTAGTTCCAGCTACTTGTGAGGCTGAGGCAGGAGAATTGCTTGAATCCAGGATACGGAGGTTACAGTGAGCCGAGATCGCGCAACTGCACTCCAGCCTGGCGACAGAGTGAGATCCCATCTTAAAAAAAAAAAAAAAAGAGAGAGAGAGTAGATATTCTGCTAATTTGCACGTACCACTCCCACTCTGTGGGATATACCTGCATATTGAAGTTATGAGAAATCGTATTGTGAAGAAAGGTTTTCTTTTAAAGATAGGTTCCTTGTGGGCTGGAGGACAGAGAACTGGTGGAGGAACAGCTGTTGTTTTTAATTCACAGAGTTACCATTGAATGGGGTTATTAATATTACTTGAGTTAGTAACAGTCTGATCACTCTATGAGATGAGAGGTGAAGACACTGTTTTGGGTATCATTTTGATAATGAATTTAGTAATGACACATAATAGATACCGTGTTTCTGTTGTATTCATGGGGGAATGCATATTTCAGTACCCAATTTCCCTCAAAGTACAGAACTCTTCCTTCAACAGCAGTCGTCATTTCCTTCTCTGATTTTTGTAATAGCATTGTATTTTGAGCAGCTCTATAAAATCATAATAGATTTCTTTTTTCAGTTTATGGTTGGCAGCCATATAAAACAAAGACAGAAAGGTTTAGTAAGGTTTTAGTTGTGTATCTGATGTAAAAATATGCTGGATTACAATGCATGGATAAAAAATAATAGATGATTTCTGAGGCTTATGCACTTTTATTTCCTTTGATATGCCAGATTCTCTGTGCACCTCCTTTATTTTTAGGGTGATTTTTGATTAATTCTGACTAGTTAGAGTTCTCATAAATCGGACAGTTGGATCCAACCTCAGATCTTGATGCTGTGTGATTGCTAACCATGCTGAAATGTGCTTCCATCATGCTCTGCGTTGCACTTTACTGAGTATCATGGGTGGGAAAGTCATCCACTGAAGGGAGATACAGACATTTAAAATTTTGCTTCTTCACAAACCTTATCTTCACCTCGAGGGCCCATCCAGGCCATGCAAACATACTCGAGTGGGGTCCAGGACTTTAAACCATCCTTAAAGAGACAGCTCTAAGTGCGCCCCTTACCTCACACAGTAGATATGGCTCTGTCTCCCCTGTGGCCTTTCTTAGCTATGCAGTATCATTTCTGTTGTAAAGAACTTAATTAAAATTAATACTGATGTCCTCACTAGAGGTTTTGGAACGCAATTATAAGTTGTTTGTCTTAGACTGAAGACTTAGATAGCTATTTATTTATTTATTTGAAGCAGAGTCTTGCTCTGCTGCCCAGGCTGGAGTGCAGTGGTGCCATCTCGGCTCACTGCAACCTCTGCCTCCCAGGTTCAAGTGATTCTTCTGCCTCAGCCTCCTGAGTAGCTGGGTTACAGGCATGTACCACCACACCCGGCTAATTTCTGCCTCAGCCTCCCAAAGTGCTGAGTTTACAAGCGTGAGCCACCACACCTGGCCTAGATAGCGTTTTAAAATGAATTTTGTGGGAAAACATGCAATCTCTACTAGGAGGCTGCATTGGGAGGGTTCCTTCTGTTCACTGTGTATGTCTATCAAATATCAAATATTTCAGGTTTTGTTTTTTTTTTTTTTTTTTACTTATAGATTTTGACTGGAGTTAAAGGCTTCTCATTTTCTAAAACCTGGTTTATTTACTTTTCCTTACATTAGAAATAAGCTTAAGTTACATGAGCAGACATAGCAAACCTGAATAAGATAATAGAAAATGCTAGGTGTTCCCAGGATGTTACCAGTTGCCACTTTCTATGCCAGATTCAGAGTTAATGGCTAAATAGATTCTTCAGTTTTCTGTAACTGTATTTGAGGCAAATGGAAATGACAGAATGTTAATGTGGAGATCTGTGTCCACTCCTGTCACACAGCTCTCGGGGACAGCTCTACTTATGCCCTCTTGCCCCCACTCAGTTACATACACTTACATGCTTTCCATGGAGGACACCCCTCCCACATGTGAAGACCAGCTCTTGGCCCTGAGGCTGAAGTCTAAGGGTTCCTTGGCCTCAGGAGGCCTTTGGCTTAGAGGTGTACCCAGTTAGCCAAAACCTGCTACCTGTTAATAATGCTTAGATTTAAACCCCTGACTAGCCCAATAATATGCTAGTTTCTGTTCCTTTGTTCCATGGTTCCTCATCAGGCCTCCTAGAGATTTACTCTGCGACCCTAGTTCCTATTACTTCTCCCCAGTGTGACAGGGACCGAGCCTGCTGACCCATTCAGCTTCCCCTTGCCTTCCAGTATGAGAACAGAATGAATGAGAAGGTGGAGCAATTGGTGCTGAAACTTCTGAACTCTGCACAGCAGCAGTTCCAGATCCCAAAGTTGTTAAGGCTACTGGCCAGAGGCCAGGAAATATAAATTAAACAGAAGCTAATTGCTTATAGCAAACTCTACTTCATGGTTAACTTTTTCTCCTAAGACTATTAATAAATAGTGGAGTGCCTGCATTAAGTGAGAAACACCTGTCAAAATCTGTAATGAAGCAAATTAAATTGTAATCTGGCAAATGCATTCTTGTAATGCTCTCAAGTCATAACTGACTAATGGATTTGCTTCGTAAACTCTCACTGAGCCCCTCTGAGGTGTGCGGCACCAAGCTAGTGCTGGGGATGAGGTGCCTCAAGCCTGTCCTCATGAAGAGCTCATAGCAGGTTGAGAAATAGACTCACAAGTCACTGCAGTCTGATGTGGTGACTGGTACAATGGAAGTGTGTGAAAAGTCCTCTGGGCGCCCAGGGAAGGAGTGGGGGGGTCTTTATCAGCGCAGAGGATACATGTGGATGAATAAGGGCAGGAAGATGAGATGCTGAAGGTCCTCTGTGGGGAAGAAACAGATAGGATACTCACTCTGAGGTTGATTGTTTTTCTGGTTTCTTTCTAAATATATGATACGATAATAGAAATCATGAAACTGTATGAAATGTGCTTACAGTAACTGTCAAGAAGTACTAAACAATAAATAGAATGACTTCTCAATAAATCTGACAATGCTGACATCTTTTATTTTTTCCTTGATTGAATGCACCATTTCAGTGCCACTTAACAGTCTGGGTAAAGTAAGACTCTGTGTATTAATTTTAGTACTGTGATTCTGAGTTTCTGGTAGGAATGAACCATCATGATTAGCAAATCTGATCTATCCAAGGCAGATAGTCATGAAAATAACACGAATTAATTTAAACCAAGTTAATAAAATGATAAATGACTTATTACTGTCCAGATACCCTTAAAAATAATTGTCCTTTCACTTTTTTATTAGTTTATTTGTGCAGATGCTGGAACCAAACTAGCTGAGTCAACAATCCTGAGCAAGCAGATGATAGCCTCTGTACCTGGAGTAAGTCCTGTCCAAATTCATTGTCTACATACTTATATTTCATAGAATAGCAGTTAAGAATGTAGGCTTTAGACTTACGTCAGGGTTTGAGGCCTGCCATTTACTAGCTATGTGACTTTTGGAAAGCATTTTAACCTATAATTCTTTGATTCGTATCATCTGTCAAATGGGATATAACAGGGTTTAACATATAGATTTAACAGGGTTTAACATATAGGTTGAGGATTGAATGAGATAATGCATGCAAAGCATATTAGCAAGGAGTCAGACATAGTAAATGCTGTGAAATGTTATCTATTAAAAATAATATTAACAAACATTGCCTATTTTTAGATATTTTAGTTATTTCTATATTTTTCTATTGTAATTAATATGCAAAGAACATCTTGTGCCTAAATCTTTGTCCATACTTCAGACCATTTCTTTATAATAGATTTCTGGGAGTAGAATGACTAAACTATGTTTTTTTTTTTAAGGGTTCTGTGGTGTAATACAAGGTCCTATGCGACAAAAATCCCAATTCTCAATGACTTACGAAAGTTTAGTGTTTGCTCAGTGAAGTTTAGTAGGGAAAGGGGGATTTCTACGTGCATGCTCAGGGATCAGGTTTCTTCCATTATGTGCAGTCCACTGCAATCAGCTTGATTGTGGTTGGGGAAAGGGAAGAGAATATGGCCCATGGGGTTTTCACAGGCCAAGTCTAAAAATGTGTGGTTTTTTTTCCTACTCACATTCCATTGGCTAGAACTCAGGCACATGACCACACCTAACTGCAAGGGATGATGGGAAATGTGGTCTAGTTGTGGGCCAAGGAAGAAGACAGGCCTGGGGAGTGGCTAGCCAGTCTCTGCTGCATGCTTGCTGTTTCCTTCATTGTTTAATTCTTTAAAACTCATTATTTGCTACCTATGCCATAGCTAAAAAAAAAAAAGTCCCTAATAATAAAAGTGTTATTGAAATCAGTAATTAAAAGATGAACATTCCAACAACGGAAAAGCAACATACAGTCCCCTTTCTGATGACCAATAAGCCATTAAAAATAAACCTTTTACTCTGACTAGCAATCAATGAATTGTAAGTTAATATGAAGTATAAAAATATTTAAAAATATAAAAATTAAAATTGGCTAGCCAATCAGCAGATTTTCTCTTTTAAAAAAAAAAAACACCACTTCATCAGGGCATGAAAGACATATAGGAAGCTGCACATCTTTAATGTATGTGACTGATGAGTTGGGAAATGATTATACATTCATGAAACCACCACTGTGATCTATGCCGTAAACATATCCATCACCTCCAACAGTTTCTTCCTGCCCTATTTGTTTGCTGTTTGCTTTTGTTTGTTTGTCATTAGCAATAAGAGCACTTTACATCAGATCTACCCTCTTAGGAAATTTCTAAGTGTGTAATACAGTATTTCTAACTCTAGGGACTCCGCTGCCCAGTAAATCTCTAGGACTTACTCACCTTGCATAATTGAAGCCTTGGACCTCTTGACTAATACCTCCCCATTTTTCCCTCCCCAGCAGATCCTCCTCAATGATTAGACTTATTGAGGGTAAAATGAAACAGGCATTCTTCTAAGTTACTATTGGTAGTAAAACCAACCTTGCTGGAGGGCAGTTTGACAATCTTCTTTTAGGAATATGTCTGAGAAAATAAATATGCACATGTTTTATATCAAGTATGTTTATTAAAGCATCACTTAAAATAGCAGAAATATGGAAACAAAGCAAATGTCTAACATCATCAGGGTATTGTTTAAATAAAATAAGGTGCATCCATAAGATAGACGATTATGTGCCTACCAAATCAAAGTTTCAAATAATATTTAATTAATTGGAAAATGCTTATGATGTATCTAATTAAAAAGCAAGTTAGAAAAATGTTATCTCAATCTTATAAACATTATATGTATGTTATATACGTTAAAAAACTTTAAAAAACTTGGAAGGAAATATTAACAGTAGTTTTCCCAGAGGTGGAGGACAGGAATTAGGATTACGGTGATTTCAATTTTAATTTTAATGATCTATGTTTTCCAAATTTCCTATATTAAACATGTGTTGCTTTTATAATCTAAGAAATATAACTTTAAAATCAAATATTAGTTTTGAGGAAGAATTAGCTATGATTTGCTTCAATTCATGAGTTTGAGTTTTGAATATTTTCAACTTTTTAATCATTAGTTTTCCTATGAAATAAATATAGATCTTCTGAAACAAATAGAGCTTGACTTATTTTGTTTTGTTTCTTAAATAACACACCTAAGGTTATTCTTAAGCTTTGCAAAGTAGAGAAAAGGGAGGAGGGCTTGGAAATTATATGTTTTGTTTCATAAGTATGTATGGCTCACTAAGAGTCTCCTGACCATGCAGTGAATTTTAAGGCTTTTATTAGATGCAGTTGGCTGTCTCTAGAACAAAAGTGACTTAGTGTTAGTAAATTCTTTGCTCTCATTTTTTGAGATTCAAACTTAAAAGACAAATACTGAATAATGCTCCTAGTAATTATTTTCGGTGACATTTGCCTAGTTGAAATGGTATAAAATATTGCCTATGAAAGAAACAAATCCCTTTCAAGAAATTCAAGAACAGAGTCTCCAGTCCTATTTGCATGACATGTGAAAGGTCAGAGAAAATGGAATAAATCAGGGGGAAATCCTTTCTTGCACGAAAGGATTAATATTCCAAAAGCAGGAACACAATAACCTTTTATAATTCCTTCACTTGATTTAAATTAAAAGAAGACAACTTTGGAACGTATGAAATGCTTGGAAAACACTCTGACAGACTGCCAATGACCTTATTTTGCTGTCTGTTATCCTGTCAGAAGAACTGACAAGCGTAACATTCTAGAAGAGAGAGAAGGTGATATAGTTCAGTACCGTGCAGATTTACATGAATATGGGAAAATGAGAGCCACTGGGTGAGCTAGTTAAGTCTATAATGTTCCAGATTTTCCTAAAGAAAGCTGAGGAAGGCCTTTAGCATAGTATTCATCTGGCTTCAAAGCCTGCCTCGTTTGATCCACATGATACCCGGCCTGATGTGTGGCTTCTCTCATACGGCTTTGATATAGCAGCCTGCTTGTTCATTTTCCTTTGCTTTGCTTATAATCCTAAATTCACTGCATTCTCAGGGAGAGCAGGCCGATGCCATTTAACCACCTAAAACACAAACTTGCTTTCTTTTCCTTCCAAACTTTTCAAACACACTTCGAGCATGTGGGGAAGATGACCATTTTGTTTCTTTCCTTTATCCCCTAGCAAGAACTTGACTGTAATACATGCATCTATTTAATAGTGTACCTACTGTGTGTAAAAAGTTAATTTGCAAGTGACTTGACTAGTATGAGAATTTTTGACTCTTTCAGCAAACACGATGCTTGTTTGTATACTTTTTTGACAGAAAATAGATTCAAGATTCTGGTGGTAGAACTTGGTGGCATGTATTTTATGTGTAGCTAAGACTTCCCTAGAATGAGAATGTGTTGCTATGTTTTGGAATGAATGATGTCCTAAAGACTCTGATACTAATGGCATGACATAGGCTGAATCTTTGCATACAAAGCAGTTTAAAAACAAGCACACACATAGAAAATCAGTCCAATAACCCAGTGGATAAAAGCATTTAGCCCCATCTCTCATAGGCCTCTCCTGTTTCTTTGTTCTCCGCCACAAACCTTCTATCAATTTTTGTCCAAATGCTGAGCAGTCAGAGACTATGCTGAGAGTAATGGAGTGAGTCAGAAATCCAGAAAGTGAAACAACTCCTTAGTAAACAACGTGAAACCAGAGTAAGGCAATCATTGCAGTCAGGGCAAAAATAAAGCTGTGACCCAGCTGTGTCCTTGTGTTTCAGTGTGGGACTGCAGCCATGGAGTGTGTGAGGCAGTACATCAATGAAGTGCTGGATTTCATGGCAGACATGCACACGCTGACCAAACTGAAGGTGAGATGACCACCACCTGCTCATCCTTCAGGTTCACAAAACAGAGATGCTTTGAGAGAATTAAGTAGACCATAGGGAACTTATTGCTACCTGGGGAGGCAGCTGTGGCACTGTTGAGTAGTCCCTGCCTTGGGGGATCAAAGAGCCAGGGTCCAGCTTTGCAAAGAGGAAAAGAGGAAGGGAAAGGACATTCACATGGCATCAGCCACATGCATAGCTTTACTTTTGCCATATACTCACTTCTCACAATACCTCTGTTAAGATTCTATCCCCATTTTACAAATTGAGAAACTGAGGCTTGGGATGGTGTAGTACTTGCTCAAGTAACACTACTAAGTGGTAAAGTCAAGGTTGAACCCAAGATTCTTGTGACCCTCAATTCATTCTCTTTTTACCACATAGCATCGTTTAATTACCTTGAGCATCAGTTTCCTCTTTTGAAGAACAAATCCAATAATCCCTACCTTGCCTGACTGTTACGAGGGTTTAATCAAAAATAATGTACGTGAAGAGACTTTCATAAACTATAGCATATTATGCAAACATATACCATGTATTATTTTTTTGCTGCATCGAAGCTATTTTCTTAAAGAAAATCCTTGATGAAAGGGGATAGAACAAAATTTAATTTGCATATGGACACAATCCCAGTGAAGTTGTTGAGATGATTGAGTTTTTGCAGGGTGGAATGAATTGCTGATGCAGGTCCACTTTCCTGCTATGATTCAACTAGGAAGCTAAAAGATGAATAGTTTGAGGGATCTGAGCAAGGCCCTAGACAGAGTGCAGAAGAGAATCCAAACATGGTCCAAGGAGCAGCCAAATTGCAATCTGGCGTTAGATGATTCCTTTTTGATAATTGGGAGCTAGTAATCCCAGAAGTTCATCAGCAAAAATACAGTCCCTTAATCACTGACCTGTTCCCTGGCTCTGCTCACATGATCAAAGTGGTTTTTGGTATAGTGATAGATTTGCAAATCCCAGGCAGAAAGTAGAATCAAAATGTAAACTGAGCGTATCTCACAATATGTAAACCCAGTCATTTCTTAATGAGCTCCCCTATCGTTCGCTCCTGTGCTGGTTACTGCTTGCTGAATCTGATTGCCCACACTTAAATGACTTTGATGTACAAAGAAGAGGAAACAACTGTTACCTAAACGTGTTTAGGTTGTTGTGCAGATGCTTTCAAAAAATAATAAGTAGGAACCAGGGTCATCAAAAGGTTGGGAATACAGTCATAATCTAACCCTCTGATTTTACCTATTGGGAAACAGATCAGAAGGATCAAGTGGCAAGTGGATTATCTAAGGCCATGGGACTAGCTAGGACAGACCTGGGTCTAGAACCTAGGTCTCAACACTTAGTTCAGTGCTCTTCCCACTGAGCTCACACTGAGCAAAGAAATTTTTCTGAATTAATTCAACAAATATGTATGAGCACCTGTAATATCATGGCACTGTTCTAGGCACTGGGGATGCTGTGATGAGCAAAAGCGGACACAACAGCTGCTCTCATTTAATTTATAGCCTGGCAGAGGAGGCCAAATTTAATGAACATTTCACACAAACTACAGTAAAAATGTATCTCTCACAACTGCTATGAAAAAGAGGTAGAAAGCAGCACAGACCTGGCCAGGGAGCTCAGGGAACGCTTCCCGGAGGAAGTGACACTTGAGCTAAAATCTGAACAATTAGGTGAAGAGAGGTGGGAATGGCATTCCAGACAAAGGGAATAGCAGCGCAAGGGAACACAGAGAGCCAACACAGCTGGAGCTGCAGGCTGAAGGGGTAAGCTCAATAGCTGGATCTTTCTGGCTTTGTAGGCCACACTAGGGAACTTTCCCTTCTTTTATCCTAAGAACAATGGGAAGGGTCTGAAGAAGTTTAAGCAGGTTATGTGCTCAGAGTAGCCATAAGAGGGGTGGAAATGACAACCTGATATTTTCAAAGAATGGCCTGGAATGAATCCAGGTGTCTGCCAGAGTTACAAAATACCGCTTGGTTTTGTAGAGCCACATGAAGACATGTTCCCAGCCTCTGCATGAAGATACCTTTGGGGGACATCTCAAAGTGGGGCTGGCCCAGATTGCAGCCATGGACATCTCACGGGGCAACCACAGAGATAACAAAGCTGTGATCCGCTACCTGCCTTGGCTTTATCATCCCCCCTCTGCAATGCAGCAAGGGTAAGACCCTTACTGTTCCGGGAATGAGGGTAAAGAAGGCAGGAAACACCCCTGAGTTTCCTTGGGCTTAGCTACAGTTAATGATACACTGAAGATTATGACAGTGGAATGTACTTGGTTAGGAAGATGGAAATTGGATCCCATCTCCATACATACTTGCTGACCCAGAATGCTCTGTGACATGCTGCCAAAAAACAAACCTGTCCTCCCACAAAACCCTCAATTGTCCTAATGAAGAATGAAAATTTTGAGCTTAGAATTACCACTTTAACGCTTGATTTAAACTAGTTAAGTAAATTAATAAGTATGTATCAATATATTTGCCTTCAAGCAGCTTAGATTGTAGCTGGAACAAAAGCTATAGCAGGGATGAAATTGGTGCAAGGTTAGGTTGTACAAGCCCCTGACCCTGCCTTTCAGGGAGGCTAAAGAAGAGAGAGGCATGTACGGGTTTGTTGACTTGGGAACTCAGGGTAGGTTTGAGCCCGCCCTTTTGCGTGGTCAGCCTTCTGTCCAGAGGAAAAGTGTAGAGTGGGAATAAGAAGGGTGGGAGGAGAAGATCACGGGGGAGCAGGAAAATGGGCAGCTGTGTTATATCTCCTCATCTCCTTCCTCCCCTCTACGGGGGATACCAGAGAAGAAATTTCTTTTCTTTTTTTTTTTTTGAGACGGAACCTTGCTCTGTTGCCCAGGCTGGAGTGTAGTGGTGCTATCTCAGCTAACTGCAACCTCTGCTCGTGGCTTTAAGCGATCCTTTTGCCTCAGCCCCCCTAGTAGCTGTAATTACAGGCACGCACCACCATGCCTGGTTAATTTTTGTATTTTTAGTAGAGACGGGGTTTTGCCATGTTGGCCAGGCTGGTCTCAAACTCCTGACCTAAGGTGATCCACCTGCCTCGGCCTCCCAAAGTGCTGGGATTATAGGTATGAGCCACCGTGTCCGGCCCACCACAGAATAAATTTCTACAGCAGGAGTGGAAAGAGTTTAGAAAGGGAAGCTAGTCAGAGAGGCAGCCAGGCTTGTGGAAGAATGCTGTGTAATCCTGTGTCACCAAAGGCTGTTCTTTTCTCAAGAAGCTGAGATCCAGGATTAGAGTGGAAAACAAGAAAAACAGATACATCATTTTGTTGACACTCAGCTGCCTTGGCATTTTGTTTTATGTGATTGCCTGCAAGACCACACTTTCTATCCCTGCCTCCAATAAGCATTTGTTATGCAGCCAATGAAACAGAAAACATAAAATCGTCGTTAACACTCCTTCTTCTCTAACAGACCTAAAGAATTCATCGAGTGTGTCTCCCACATCCGGCTGTTGTCCTGGCTTCTGCTGGGTTCCCTCACTCACAATGCAGTGTGCCCAAATGCCTCCTCTCCCTGCCTGCCCATTCCTCTGGATGCAGGCTCCCACATTGCAGACCATCTTATTGTTATCCTGATTGGATTTCCAGAGCAATCAAAGGTAAGTGATTTCTGCAAGATTAAGACCGAATGCATCGCAATTGCTAATGGAAACCTTATCAACCAATTATGTTTCTTCTGAGAAGAAAATGCATCTTATCACTTGCCCTCCTGTGGATGTTAGAAACACAACTCTGTGCTAATGTCTTATTTAAAGTTGTTTAGATTCCCAGACTGTCTCTCCCCCTGCCCCCAAATTGTTTTTAGACTTACTTTTATGAAGATAAATCATGGAGGCAAGCAAGAGTTGGCTTCCCAGGCATTTCTGTCTCAAAATAATGAAGAGAAATAAAAGGCTAGAAATATAATCAAAATTCTGTGATCAGCTTTTAAAACCAGAGACAAAATGGAGGAAAATTTATTCTCTATCTAATTCTTCATGTACTGTCTTTTCAACTGAAATTTCTGGAGATACAGGAAAATACAAAATGAAAACAAGAAGGCCAGTTGGAAACTCACTAAAGCACACATTGGCATGACCTATGCAGGGGGACTTTGTAAATTGCAGAGACAGATGATGTGCTAAAGGGAAGAAAGTAAACCCAAGGCAGGCACCAGTCATGAACCTGTCCAGGCAAGCCAGACACATTGGTACTAACCAGCTCCGAGGAGCCAGGGGACCTTCACAGAGCTTCGGCAAGTTCTGGGAGGTCACAGTGGCCTTGGGGACAGCTCGGGTTTGGGACAGGGCAAGCTGATGATGTGATAAAATGGCACACCCATCCCAATGATCCAAATGATGTTCGCAAAAGGAATTAGGCAGTCGATTCCTAATATTTCAACTGAGATCCGGGTTTGGTTCCTAATTATGGTACTTGTGATTTTATGAGCTTGACAAGTATCTAACCTGTCTGATATTCAGATTTTCACCTGTGAAATAGACGAGGGGATAGTTGGAGAGCGATGGAGGTGATCTAGGAAAAGCCTTTGGCGCAGTCTCTGGCGTGTTGTAGGTGCTCTCCCTGCACGTGCTTTCCGCTAAGAGGAGGAACTGCTGCTGCTGCTATGATTAAGAACTTCTGGGCAGGGTGTTCACATATATCACCTCCTTTACTCCCATGCTTTGAAGAGGCTACTATTATTCCCATTTTACAGATGAGGAAACATCCTAACATGGCAGAATGATTGTTCTCCCTAATCTAGTTTTGGGATGGGAATGTCAGTTTCGTTAAAGGGCAAGGGGGTGGGTAGATTTCTTCAGCAAATTAAGGTGCCTTCTCTTCAAAAATGTGCTTTATTCTCTGAGCACACTCCCACTGGTGGAGAAGAGAGCAGAGCAGATTGTTTTAAGATGATGAATCACGACTTTGTAACTCTGAGATAATGCCTTTGTGCTTTGACTGTGCTCCCTGGCAAGACCAAAGCCATGCGGGGAGGGCTCCATGGAGGGTCACAGCCTGCTGAGATGCAATGCACCGATGCCGTCTTCTTCCTTTTCAGACCTCCGTGCTGCACATGTGCTCCCTCTTCCACGCGTTCATCTTTGCTCAGCTCTGGACAGTGTATTGCGAGCAAAGTGCCGTCGCTACAAATCTCCAAAATCAGAATGAATTCAGCTTCACAGCGATACTGACAGCACTAGAATTTTGGAGTAGGGTGACACCCAGCATCCTTCAGCTAATGGCCCATAACAAAGTGGTGAGTTCACCGACAAGTTTCCCTTCTGAGATGGAATCTCAAAGTGTCCACACCACTCCTAATCCTCACACTCCCTGTTTTCACAGATCTCAGTTGTAAGATTATATAAATGGATCAGGGATTTGTTACCTTATAAGCTGGATGTTCTGCTTGCATAAGCATTTTGATTAAAAATAAGCATTTTGATTAAAAACAAAATAAACAATAGTTCAAGACATCTATTGTACACCGTGGTGACTACAGTTAACAACAATATATTCTATACTTGAAAATTGCTATGAAGAGATTTCAAATGTTCTCACCACAAAAAATAAGTATGTAAGGCAATGCACATGTTAAATAGCTTGATTTAGCCATTCCACAATGTATATGTATCTCAAAACTTTTATATTGATATATAAATATAAAAAAGGAAACAAGTACAGTTATTAATATTAAAAACAATTTTTATTTTTTCTGCCTAACATCAAATGTATGTTGTATGAAATTTCTACCTTGAAGGGTTGTTTGCTGCTATAATGTCAGAGGGTTAGGAGTGAGATTCATATTATTTGAGGATTTCAAAGCAATTTGGAAAAACCTTAGCCAATTAGGTCATCTATTTGTGGTTGTTTAAGAGTAGACTGACTACAGATGTTCATTCCACTCCGGGCTCAAAGCCTGAAAGGAGCCTCACCTTTTCGAGTTGCTTTATAAGGACCTATGCTCCCAATCTTCAAATCCAGTACTATTGAATGTAGATGGCTTACCAAGAGAGGGGCTGTTCCAGAGCTCATTGGAAAATGTCTGGGGTATGGCTAGCCTAAGCCCACTTCATTGAACCAGTGTGGAGTATTCATCCTGGAGTCAAGGGTGGAGGATATATGAAAGGAATTTACAAGGGAGTCCTTTGGTTCTGACTGTGTATTGGAGGAGGACTCTCAGCTGGGAAAGCTGCAGCCAGTGTCTTGATTATGGGGACACCATCAGTAGAGTTCTTGTTTGTTAGGAGCAGGGGACCTGGAGGGACACCATAATGATGATTCCAGTGTGCCCTGAAACCCAACACTACACTGCCCACAAAAGGCATTCAGGAAATGTTTTTTTAATTGATTGAATAATAGTCTAAGAAGTATTTTCTTTTGGTTCTTAATTAGAAAGGGGATTGTATATTTCCTTTAGTGAAGACTTTGTTCTTTAGAGATGCAGATGATACAGGCATTCTATGTGTGGAGAGATGTCTTAGTTCAATCTAAAGGAAGTTTATGTGAAAATCGTAGCATTTGAATAGTTCTGACTGTTATGGAAAATAATTACATTTATTGGATCACAGATTCTAGGACTAATGAAGAATTTGGAGATCAAACATTCTATTCTGTTATTTCACGGACAACAAAACTGAGGCCTTAAACTTAAGCTAGAGATTAAAAATGTTCCTTCTATCATTAGTTTTTTTGATACCAAGAAATACCTCTCCTCCAAATCACTCTCCATATTTAAATGTTACAAATGAATTTGTTGTACATGAATTTTATGCAAATGATATTACAAAAGAATTTGAATTAAATTCATTCTGAAAATTTTGTTAAACCATATATAAGCCAGTCTGGTAAAAATCTCCCTGGAATATTTAAAATCCAGCTGTAGGAATTTCTGATGAGGGACTTCGCCTCTACTGTCTTTGAACTGTCGTAAGCACGGCTACCTTGTCCCACGGAGAATAAAGCCTCGGAAACAGATCTGCAGTAAATTAAACAGTTATTGCTGATGAAGACACTGTGTAGAAAGGATCAAGATTGAGAAAGGATCAAAATATTACTGGGAAACATTGATGTGAAAATTACCCAATTCTAATATAAATCCCCTTACCTTGCAAAAGATATCCAGAAAACCAAGGAAAATAGTCTGTAATTGTCTGACTTTGTATCTGGTGCTTTCTCCAAGACACGTTAGTTTAGTTTCAAATAATATTATTTTAAATCATTACATGGTATATAAAAGTAATTCAAGCATTTGTTATCTCCTCTCCCTGGGTACCCTCCTCTCAAAACAGACTAGCGTGATACACAACTCTTACATCCAAAGAGCTCCATAGTTAGAAATGAAGGAAACAGAAGCCATGTATTCCCTGGTGTGAGTCAGTGCAGTGCAGATTAGTGAGATTAATGCCTGAATTCCATTGGCAGCCCTGAGTTGAATGAGGGAGGCATGACAATTACCAAGCCTCTGGAGCTTTTTAAAAATCTTTTTCTGGCTTGAAGTTTCAGAGGTGAATGAACACCACTGCCAGTGGTCTCCTATGGTCATTACGCAGAAAGACCTCGTGGGCACAGGACATCATAGGTCTTCTGCGGCTGCAGACTAGTTTGCAAGGTTTCCATATCACTGGGAATGGAATTAACTTTCATGTTTGTTGTTTCAGATGGTAGAAATGGTGTGTCTCCATGTGATTAGTTTAATGGAGGCATTGCAGGAATGCAATTCGACCATTTTTGTCAAGGTAGGAAAACCTTATGATTCTTACAGACCATTTCTTACTGCTAAAAACAAATGTGGATTTATGTTGAAGGTACTTTCTGAAGAGAATTAGTTTTAACATTCAGAGTTGGGGCTGGAGAATTCAGGCTCCTATAACAACCCTTTACCAAATGGTTATTGCATGAATTTTGCTCTTGGTCTACCACTGTGACCAACTTCAGCTGGGTTAAATATATCAGACTAGGCCAGGCATGGTGGCTCATGCCCATAGTCCCAGCATTTTGGGAGGCTGAGGCAGGAGGATTGCTTGAGCCTAGAAGTTTGAGACCAGCCTGGGCAATATGGTGAGACCTTGTCTCTACCAAAAAAAAGAAAAAAAAAGGTAACACAAGTGCTGGTGCTGAAAGTATTACTGGGGAACATTGATGTGAAAATTACCCTATTCTAATATAAATCACCTTACCTTGCAAAAGATATCCGGAAAACCAAGGAAAATAGTCTGTAATTGTTTGGCATGGTATCTGGTGTTTTCTCTAAGACAAATTAATTTAGTTTCCAATAATATTATTTTAAATCATTATATGGTGTATAAAAGTAATTCAAGCATTTGTCATCTACCCTCCCTCGGTACCCTCCTCTCATCAGAAACAGACTAGTGTAATACAAAAACGAAAGAGTAGAGAACTTGGTTTCCTATTCCGTTTATCTTTCTGTCTCCCGTCTTTTTCCTTTCCTTCCTATTGTTCCACCTCTTTGTCTCTCTGATCCTTCTTCCTCTCCTTGTATCTCTTCTTGTATTTCTTTATCTTTCACCTCTATATTCTATTATGTTGGCCACCGTCACCACCCACCATCATCACCCACTAGTGGGCATCACCTCTATATTCTATTATGTTGGCCACCGTCACCACCCACCATCATCACCCACTAGTGGGAACCTTATAACTTGCTGTTTCATTCCTTGGTTAACTCCACTCGTCAACAAAGAACATTTGTCACATTCACTCACACTATGCTGAAGAAAAGCAGCCCATTTCCGGGGAAAGCTTGACTGTTACCAGAAGAGAACAAGATCATTGGTTCAAATGGGCTAGATATATGATATCTAGCTTGCTAATAGCAAAAGTCAACACTGTTGGAGTGCAGTGGTGCAATAATATACATATGGCAAATGGTACATATTTAAAATGTTCTGTTTGATAAGTCTTGACTTACATTATGCCATGCACTATGATCAAGACAATGAACATATCCATCATCTCCAAAACTTTTTCAAGCCAGGTGTGGTGGCTTATGCCTGTAATCCCAACACGTTGGGAGGCTGAGGTGGGCAGATCACTTGAGGTCAGGAGTTCAAGACCAGCCTGGCCAACATGGTGAAACGCCATCTCTACTAAAAATACCAACATCAGGCAGGCATGGTGGCACACACCTGTAATCCCAGCTACGTGGGAGGCTGAGTCAGGAGAATCGCTTGAATCCGGGAGGTGGAGGTTGCAGTGAGCCTAGATTTTGCCACTACACTCCAGCCTGGGCAACAGGATGAGACTTTGTCTCAAAAAAAAAAAAAAAAAAAAAAACCCGAAATTTTTTCATACCCCTTTATAATCCTTTGGTTAGGTTACTCGTCTCCTTGTCCCCAGACAACTACTGACCTGCTTTCTGTCACTATAGATCAGTTTGCACTTTCTAGAATTTTCTTTAAGTGGATTCATACAGTATATACCTTTTTCTGCCTTCTTTCACTTGTAATAATTGAGATTAATCCATGTTATTGCATGTATCAGTGGACCATTGCTTTTATTTCAGAATAGTAGTCCATTGTACGAATATACCACATTTTGCTTATTCATTTGTCAGTTGACATCTAGGGGGTTTCCAGTTTGGGGCTTTCACAAATAAATCTGCTATGAAGATTCGTGAAGATGTCTTTGTGTACATATATGCTTTCATGTGTGTTGGGCAAATACCTAGGAATACAATGTCTGGGCCATGTGACAGGTGTATATTTACCTTTAACAAAATTGTTTTCCAAACCGTTTTCCAAAGCTATTGTGCCCTGTTACATCCAGTATATGAGCAGTCCCAGTTCCTCCACATCTTTGTCAACATTTGGCATAGTCAATCTTTAATATTAATTATTCTAAGAGTTGTGTACTGGTATTTTGTTGTGGTTTTAAATAGCATTCTCCTGTTTGCTAATGACATTAGCCTCTTTTCATGTACTTATTTGCTGTCCATATGTCTGCTTGGTGAAGTGTCTGTTAAAATTATTTGCCCATTTTTTATTGGATTGGGTTTTTTCCTGATTACTGAAATTTGAGATACAAGTTCTTTATCAGTTATGTGATTTGCAAAGATTTTTCTCTGTGGTTTGTCTTTGGAATTCTTAATTTTGATGAAGTACCATTTACCAATTTTTTTATTTTATGAATCATGATTTTGATGTTGTATTTTTAAAAATCTTTGCCTAGCCCAAAAATAATAAAAAGTTTTATTTGTGTTTTTTTTTTTTTTTGAGACGGAGTCTCGCTCTGTCACCCAGGCTGGAGTGCAGTGGCCGGATCTCAGCTCACTGCAAGCTCCGCCTCCCGGGTTCACGCCATTCTCCGGCCTCAGCCTCCCGAGTAGCTGGGACTACAGGCGCCCGCCACCTCGCCCGGCTAGTTTTTTTTGTATTTCTTAATAGAAACGGGGTTTCACCGTGTTAGCCAGGATGGTCTCGATCTCCTGACCTCGTGATCCGCCCGTCTCGGCCTCCCAAAGTGCTGGGATTACAGGCTTGAGCCACCGCGCCCGGCCTATTTGTGTTTTATTCTAAGCTTTATCTATGTTTTCACTTGGGCGTTAGTTTAAGTCTGTGATCTATTTTGAGTTAACTCTTGTATACGGTGTGAGATATGGCTTGAGGTACCTTTTATGTATATGGACAGTTAGTTATTCCAGCATCATTGTTAAAAATACTATACTTTCTCCATCACATTGCCTTTGCACTTTTGTCAAAAATCAAATAACTATACAATTCTAATTCTGGCTTCTTGATTCTGTCCCACTGATCTCTATTTTTTTTATTTTTATTTTTATGTTTTTTTCCTGAGACAGAGTCTCACTCTGTCACCCAGGCTGGAGTGTAGTGGCGCAATATCGGCTCACTGCAACCTCCGCCTCCCAGGTCCAAGTGATTCTCCTGCCTCAGCCTCCTGAATAGCTGGGATTACAGACACCCGCCACCATGCCCGGCTAATTTTTGTATTTTTAATAGAGATGGTGTGTCACCATGTTGGCCAGGCTGGTCTCGATCTCCTGACCTCAGGTGATCTGCCGACCCTGGCCCCCCAAAGTGCTGAGATTACAGACATGAGCCACCATGCCCGGTCAGATCTCTGTCTATTTTTATAACACACTGTCTGCATTACTACAGCTTTATAATATTCTTTGAAATCAGGTAGTGTCAGCCTTCTAAATTCATTCATCTTTTTCAAAGTTGTTTGGCTATTCTAGGTCCTTTGCAGTTCAAGATAAATTTTTAAATTGGTTTGTCAATTTCTACAAAAAGGTTGTTAGGGGCTGGACACAGTGGCTCATGCCTGTAATCCCAGTGCTTTGGAAGGCCAAGGAGGGAGAATTGCTTGGGACCAGGAGTTCAAGACAAGCCTGGACAGCCTGGCAGCATATTGAGACCCTGTCTCTACCCTGCAAAAAAAATTGTTTTAATTAGCTGGATATGGCAGCACATGCCTGTAGTTCTAGCTACTTGGGAGGCTGAGGTGGAGCACAATGATTTGAGACTTTTCTTTTCTAATATAAATGATTACTGCTATAAATTTTCCTCTAAGCACTGGTTTAGCTACATCCTACAATTTGGCATGTTGTGTTCTCATTTTTATTCAATTCAAAATACTTTCTAACTTCTCTTTTGCTTTCTTTCTGGCATTGATTATTTAGAACCATATTGTTTTACTTCCAAATATTTAAAGATTTCCAGAGAATTTTCTGTTATGGATTTGTAATTCTAATGTATCACAGAATATACTTTATATAATTTGACTCATTTTAAATTATTGAGACTTGCTTTATGGCCCAGAATATTGTGTATCTTAGTAAATGCTCTGTGTGCACTAGAAAAGAATGTGTCTTCTGCTGTTGTCGCTTGGAGTTTCCTAAGTAAGTTAGTTCAAACTTGTTGATTGTATTGCTCAAGTCTTCTATGTCCTTCTTGTTATGTATGTTAACTTATTCTATCAATTATTGAGAAAGGGATATTGAAATATCTCTCAATGTGGATTTATTTTTGCTTAATGTATTATGAAGCTCTGTGATTAGGCTTATAAATGTTTAGGATTGCTATATTTTCCTAATGAATTGAAATTATAAAATATCTCTCTTCATCTTTGGTAATATTTTTAGTTTAGTTTAGTGTTTTTTTTTTTTTTGTGAGATGGAGTCTCGCTTTATCACCCAGGCTGGAGTGCAGTGGTGCAATCTTGGCTCGCCACAACCTACGCCTCCCAGGTTCAAGCAATTCTCGTGCTTCAGTCTCCTGAGTAGCTGGGACCACAGGCACCTGTCACCATGCCCAGCTAATTTTTGTATTTTTATTTATTTATTTATTTATTTTGTTGTTGTTGTTGTTGTTTTTGAGATGGAGTCTCGCTCTGCCACCCAGGCTGGAGTGCAGTGGCCGGATCTCAGCTCACTGCAAGCTCCACCTCCGGGGTTTACGCCATTCTCCTGCCTCAGCCTCCCGAGTAGCTGGGACTACAGGCGCCCGCCACCTCACCCGGCTAGTTTTTTGTATTTTTTAGTAGAGACGGGGTTTCACCGTGTTAGCCAGGGTGGTCTTGATCTCCTGACCTCGTGATCCACCCGTCTCGGCCTCCCAAAGTGCTGGGATTACAGGCTTGAGCCACCGCGCCCGGCCTAATTTTTGTATTTTTAGTAGAGACAGGGTTTCACCATGTTGGCCAGGCTGGTCTTGAACTCCTGACCTCAAGGGATCTGCCCACCTCGGCCTCCAAAAGT